GGGAAAATGGGGAAAAAGCAGGGGAAATGGGGAAAATCAGGGGAAAAAACAGAGGGAAATGGGAGAATTCAGGGGAAAATGGGGAAAAAGCAGGGAAAATGGGGGAAAAAACAGAGGGAAATGGGAGAATTCAGGGGAAAATGGGGAAAAAACAGGGAAAATGGGGAAAATCAGGGGAAAAACAGAGGGAAATGGGAGAATTCAGGGGAAAATGGGGAAAAAGCAGGGGGAAATGGGGGAAAATCAGGGGAAATGGGGGGAAAAAACGGAAATGGGAGAATTCAGGGGAAAATGTGGAAAAAACAGGGGGAAATGGGGGAAAATCGGGGAAAATGGGGGGAAATCGGGGGAAAATGTGGGAAAAATCAGGGGAAAAAACAGGGGAAAATGGGGGAAAATCAGGGGAAAAGGGGAAAAAGGAGAGGTTGGGGCTGTCTCCAGTGGAATTCCTGGTTGGGAAGCCAAGGAAATGTTTCCCAAAAGGATTTTTAGGGATCTCCAGGGGGGATTTTTTGGGGGGTTTAGGGGGGTCTGAGGGAAATGCTGGAGGTGCCAAAAATGTGGGTAATTCTGGGCTTTGTCTGGGGTTTTCTGGGGGTTTCTGGGCTGGTTTTGGGGTGATTTGGGGCTGTTCCTGGGCTGGTTTTGGGGTTGGTTTTGGGGTGATTTGGGGCTGTTTTAGGGCTGGTTTTGGGGTGATTTGGGGCTGTTTTAGGGCTGGTTTTGGGGTGATTTGGGGCTGTTTTAGGGCTGGTTTTGGGGCTGGTTTTTGGAGTGGATTTGGGGCTGATTTTGGGGTGATTTGGGGCTGGTTTTTGGGGTGGATTTGGGGTGATTTGGAGCAGTTCCTGGGCTGGTTTTGGGAGTGTTTTTGGGGTGATTTGGGGATGTTTTAGGGCTGGTTTTGGGGCTGGATTTTGGGGTGATTTGGGACGGATTTGGGGCTCTTTTTGGGCTGGATTTTGGGGTGTTATGGGCTGGATTTTGGGGTGATTTGGGACAGATTTTGGGGCAGTTTTTGGGATGGATTTGGGCTGGATTTTGGGGTGATTTGGGCTGGATTTGGGGCTCTTTTTGGGCTGGATTTTGGGGTGATTTGGGCTGGATTTGGGCTGGATTTTGGGGTGATTTGGGACGGATTTGGGTGTTACCCGTGGCGTTGTTGCGGTGCCCCTTGTAGCGCCGGCTGTACTGCGCGCCGTCGCTGTGCGCCGAGTCGAACAGGTAGATGTCCTCGTCGTTGTACGAGGCCAGCAGCTCTGCAGCGGGAAAAACGGGGTAAAAACATGGGAAAACGGGAAAAAAACACGGGAAAACGGGAAAAAACACGGGACAACGGGGAAAAAACATGGGAAAATGGGAAAAAACACAGGAAAATGGGAAAAAAACACGGGAAAACGGGAAAAAACATGGGAAAATGGGAAAAAACACGGGAAAACGGGGAAAAAACATGGGAAAACGGGGAAAAAACACGGGAAAACGGGAAAAAACATGGGAAAACGGGGAAAAAACACAGGAAAACGGGAAAAAACACGGGAAAACGGGGAAAAAACATGGGAAAA